ACAAATCGCACATTAACCTCCGTAGGTCCTGGTCCTTTCCATGTGCGAAATCAGTGGATCCGCAGATGCAGTAGCATCCTTATTATCTCCTCTCAAAAGTGCGCGATAGCGGGGCTGATGGGTAATGATAGCCGGGTGCCGTCTCCCGACTCCTCCAGCGGTGCTGCACGGCTTGAAAGACGCTTTACGACATCGAAACACTACATGTCTGCGCCCTTTTCTTTTTCGAGTGTTCTCAACCTCTATGTGATCGCTGCGGGCTTCATTGACGCAAGTGTTGCACCTTGAGGATAGGGGCGGCTATGATGGCAGTGCCCGGGTTTTACTACCGCTCTTCCCCGTTTGTGTGCACTTTGAGTGGAGAAGTTGACACGCTACTACTTCGGCGGGCTCACTCACCTTGCACGTGAGAAGGGCCGTTTTCAAACGTGAGTGTACAGTTTGTCCTTTATGAATAGCTGTTCGTATGACTGAACTTATGATAGGAGGAGGGTCAGCGTCAGTATACGCCACGCTTCTTCATCCACTCAGAACCGTGGTGGCCTTTAGCATTGTGCTTATGAAAGATTGGCGAGGGCAAGCGTTATGTAGCCCAATGTTTTTTTTTTATCAGAAACAAATCTGTTGTTGAGGACTGCCTAAGAAGAGATGGTTCGAAAACCATTGTTACGAACTTTGATCCAGAGTCACGTGATGAGCGTGAGGTTTCCAACTGATCAGCACTGTTATCATTTTATACACCTGTTCATAGATCTTTCCAATGCATCTCCCTTCCTTTATATTAGGGTGTTTGGGAAGTTTTGAGATTTCTCTTAACTTTTAAGGGAAATTACATTGTGTGGTAGTTAGAATGGAGTGAGTAAAGAGAATGCGGGAAAGGACCTCCCATTATAGATAATTTTCAAGCGTGCTTTATCCAGCATCAGTGACGGTGCCTCTTTCCTGATTTGACCAACCAGTCGGCTGCTGCCGGGCTCTCCTCCTTCTTTTTAGCTCGGCTTCGCCGAGCTGGCCTGGCTTCGCCAGGCACCTTTCCCTTGAGGATTTAGAATGCGCTAAATGTGCCAAACGGTGGCAGTCATTTTTTTAAACTCCAGAAAAATTGAGTTGAAAAAGCTCAACATCAGTCATTATCTACCAACATCTGGTTACTTATGCTTACTAAAGACTTTCAGCCGTGAGAAGGCTGCACCAATCACTAAAGACCGCAGCTGCGATCGGAAATGGGTAAAGTTAGTAATTAGTAATTTGTCCCGATTAGTCCGCATGAGTCCATAACAACCGGAAGAGGCATAACTGTAGGGTCATGAGTGGCACTGAAAAGGAGAACTTCACATTGCTTGTACATGCCAAAGTTTGTGCCCCACTCCCAATTGTTGGGTACACTCCTTATTTCGCTTCAGTTGCGACCGCTAACCCCTAACACATCACAATATCACATAGCAGAAAGATTTACTGACTTTCTCGATTTTCCCGTTTCAAGCGCACTATATCCCCCCTCCCCTCCCCTCTTGACACACCATTTCACGCATGTAGTACCAAACACTTTTCAATGGACGACCTTGATTCTGTTGCCATCAAAGGAAAGGTTCACACACTGAGCCTCTAATACTCGGCATTAAAGCGGTAAGAAGTGATAAAAATGTAGCGCAGATGGTATCTTATCTGTTTTTATCGATTGATAAGATTACCTGTCACCCGTCATCAATGTCCTCATCACCAAATCTCTATGATTTGGTAGCGTGAACCACCTTGAACAGCGACGACGACTGCAACTTCCCACATCACTTCCTGTCACCCACCAATAGTGTTCCCGTCACACTCTGCACAAAACTTCTTTCAAAGTCTCACTGCTATTGGGACGGCGCGCTATGAATTTCGTGACACACACACACACACACACACACACACACACACACACACACACACACACACACACACACACACACACACACACACACACACACACACACACACACACACACACACACACACACACACACACACACACACACACACACACACACACACACACACACACACACACACACACACACACACACACACACACACACACACACACACACACACACACACACACACACACACACACACACACACACACACACACACACACACACACACACACACACACACACACACACACACACACACACACACACACACACACACACACACACACACACACAGATCGTATAACGACCACACACAAATAGACACACACACACACAACACACAACAAACTTCACACACACACACCACACACACACGACATTACTCCACACGCACACACACGACACTCGACGCGAGCACCACACACACACACATCTCTCACACACACATCCACGAGCAACACTACACACACACATGCCACACACCCACACACAGGCAGCACACAGACAAACATAAGCCGAGTTATATATAGTATGGGATAAAGTGCTAGAACGTGAAGATGATTGGACAGGCGTTTGAGTCGTGTTGCCAGTAACATTTCTCATACCAGGTGAAGTTCAACACATACTCAACCATGAAGAAAAGCACCAGCCAGCATTAAGACTGATCTACAAATATTTCCCTTTCTTAAAGTACTCCTTGCATTCGCTTGCTACACTTCTTCAAAACTCTCACTCGCACACCTGCCTTTCCTCGAACTTTCTGGACAACCTAATTAGATGGAAGCCGTGAAATGGAGTGGCTTTTGCTCGGCTTCTTGCGTAGGAGGACGGAAGGGGGGGGCAAAACGGGTTACACCTTAGTATTCCACCTCGTCTATGTTTCTTACTTGTTCGACTTGTTTTTCTAGCCAACTAACAATGACACAAAAGACCAAAATAGACTCATGGAATGATGTCAGAAACGCGCTAAGATACTGTTGGTGGTAATTTTGCATGTTTCTAGATCGAAGCAACTGCAAGTGGCTTACAAGCGTCGGTGAATGCTACTCCTACGAGAAAGGTCGTGTCGCAGTGGGAGGTGAGTGTGTACTGAAACTTTTTACGAAAACAGTCAAACTTTTGCTAAGGTTTTTGGTAGCTAATCAAGCGATGATTCATTTTTTTTCGTTGAAAATCGTGACTTGCTCCCGAATGTGGTTCGCGATATCAAGATCTATTCTTTTCCTATGTTCTAGCCAGTCGCCTCGCCGCTGATGCCGGTCGGCGGCTCCGTTCTGATAGCGGCCGCGGCTGTGCGGGCGGTGCGGCGGCCCGCCGCGCGTACCTTCTCTCACTATATTTCTAGGACTCAACTGAATATCCGGCTTTTGTTTCTGACTACGCTACTTTCTCCGGTGTCTGAAGTACTCTTGAGCTGTTTTACAAATTCTTCGTCTGACTTCGCCCACCTCAGAGCAGACCCGCCCTCAATTTTTGTGCCCCGCACTCTTCACAGGCGACCCCCTGCTGACCTTAATCCACTTTCTTCCGGTGTCTGATGTGTTCTGGAACCGTTCTGCAGAGTTTTTGTCTGGCTCCGCCCACCTCGAAACAGGCTCCGCCCCAATTTTTGTGCCCCACAATCCTCATTGGCGACCCTCTGCTGACCTTGATCCACTTTTTTCCGGTCTTCGGAGTGCTCTGGGAGAGTTTTGGAGAATTTTTGTTTGGCTCCGCCCAACTCGGCTGGCCCCGCCCAGCGAACATGTATCCCCCCCACATTCTTAATCGGCGTCCCTTGCTGACTTGAATTCACTTTATTCCGGTCCTTCGGAGTGCTCTGGAACCGTTTTACAGACCCTTTTGTCTGGCTCCGCCCACCTCGAAGCAGGCTCCGCCCACAACGTTTTTGCCCCACGGTCCTCACCTTCGACCCTCTGCTGACCTTAATCCACTTTTTTCCGGTCTTCGGAGTGCTCTGGGAGAGTTTTGGAGAATTTTTGTCTGGCTCCGCCCAACTCGGGCTGGCCCCGCCCACAACATGTATACCCCACATTTCTTAATCGGCGACCCCTTGCTGACCTGAATTCACTTTATTCCGGTCTTCGGAGTGCTCTTGAACGTTTTTTAAAATAACCTTTTTGTCTGGCTCCGCCCACCTCGAAGCAGACTCCGCCCACAACGTTTTTGCCCCACGGTCCTCACCTTCGACCCTCTGCTGACCTTAATCCACTTTTTCCGGTCTTCGGAGTGCTCTGGGAGAGTTTTTGGTAGACATTTTTTTGTTTTGGCTCCGCGCAACCGCGGCTGGCCCCGCCCCCAATTTTCGTGCCCCACAATCCTCACCGGCGACCCTCTGCTGACCTTAATTCAAGTTTTTTTCGGTCTTCGGAGAGCTCTGAACGCGTTTTACAGACCACTTTTTTTGTCTGGCTCCGCCCACCTCGGAGCAGGCTCCGCCCACAATGTTTTTGCCCCACAGTCCTCACCGGCGAACCTTTGCCGACCTTGACGCACGTTTTCCGGTCTTTGCAGTGCTCTGGAACCGAGCTACAAACTTTTAAAGTGAGTATCCTGCGGTTTAGGGCAAGCTCCGCCCACTGTGGGCGGATCTCAACACACTTTGGGCATGCCCAATACTCGCCAGATATTTACATTCTGCACTGAGCTTTTTGCGGCTTCTGAACACTCTCGCGAACCGAGTTACTGAGTTTTATGCGAAGCACCGCCCACCTTGAGTACGCCCCGCCCATTTTGGATGTGTCTGCCACAGTTAGTCTGGCGACTCCTTACTAACCTTATTCCCTTGTTTCACCATCTTAGGCTGCTCCGGAAGCGAATTATGAACATTTTTCTGTGAAACCCAAAATTTCAGCGAGTGCCCCGCCCACTGTGGGCGGGGCTTCGCATAGGTCAAGTGTGCTTTTTATTTCTTGTCCCATGCTCTACCCATCCCCACCTTGACCCGACCTCTGTCCCAAAGTGTCTTTTAGGTCGCAACCGAATTCTCCGGTTGCAGGACAAACAAGATCTATACGCAAAACAAAGTTTACATAACAAAAGCTGACAAACAAACAGACGAAGCGAATTATATTATATGCGGTTCTATCCTAGTTAAGGATGGTCTTTGTTGGCTGAATTATCGTACGAGTTTCGATGTATTAGTACTGCAGTAAAATAAGCCTATTTCAATCGTCTTGGGGAAAGTAGAAGGTGAATCCCCGAGAAGTGAAGTGAGGGACGTACGTCAAAACAGTATCCGTGCTTTCAGAGGGCCTAGGCATTGGTGGCTTTCGGGCTCTTTGTAATCATATGTTAGAATAATGTCCTTGAATCGCCGACTTAAAAGCGTAGGAGAGTGCACCATTATTCCGGGAGGGTGTTTAAGATTAGGAGTCTATGAGATTGAGCGCTGGGGTTTCAGGAAGCGTAGGGGAGTAGGGGGTTTAATTCACAGTCTGGCACTTTCCTGCATTCCTATCCTTTCGAAAACGCTAGTGGTCGGCCCCGATAGGTTCTTCCATATGGCTTCGTCCCCGTCTATAGTACTGAGCGCAATTGCAATGGTAACACGTCGTAGCGCGTCGATGCGCGTGAATGAAAGTCTGAACACTGCCGCGGCGCGTCGACGAGTGTCACTGCGAAGTCTGATTGCAGTCTTTTATGGTGCCAAAAATGCCGAATTTCCCATTGAAACCTATTTCTGCGTGAGCTAAGTTTGACCTGTAGGCTGTTCACTGGTGACTAACCAGCTAACAGACTAGAGTTCTGATTTCTGATTAATCCTCTTGATATCCTTAGACTTTCAAATTGCTTCTGGGCTTGTATGACCCTAATATCTTTAAAAACCTATTTCCTTAGCTTGGACAAACGTTACTACATAGATACAACTTACTTTGATTCATTTTATAGAAGGATGTCGACGATATCGAAGGCACTGCTCTGGAGCAGCAACGGATTCAGGAACGCCTCGGTGATGTTACTGCGCAAGCAAATGCTATCCAGGCAAAAATCCGAGAAACAGGTGAGATTGTGCGATTGTATCCATAGCTTTGAAAAGACTGTCTCGCTGACTGTTAGAATTTTTCTTGTTTGAATATTTTGAACACATATTGTAATGAGAATCTTTTTTTTGCAGAACAGAGTAGTTCGGAAGAGCAAACCTTATTGGAGACGTATATGAATCTCACCAATGAAAAGAATCATTTGGTTGGACGACAAGAATATTATAATATCATCGAAAATATCAGGTATTTTTCATTTGATGCTGTCAACTTCTTCGAGCTCATTGCTGTAGAGGCATTTTCTCTTTCAGGGAAACGAGTCGTCATATCGCTGATCTGAATGAACAACTTGATAACATGACAAAAAGTACCCCTGATGGTAAGCTTTGCTTTTTCCCCACATTTTTCGAGAGAAGTTTTGGCAGTAGTGATCCTTTACTGCCATGCCGTTCGAAGTTTTGA